TTTTTTTTTATACCTTCCATGTCCAGTTTTAGGTGTTCCTCAAGTCAAATCTTTTTTTTTTTTTGGCTTTTGCCCCCAAAGTGGGGTAAATCCAGGTAGCCACTGCTCCTTAAAAATGACAGCTGGTGCCCAACTTTTGAAGTTGTCTCTAGTTGTTGTCAATGGGGCTGGCTCCTAAAAAAATCCTGATAGCTCCTGGATTTCATATTAAATTTGTCCACCCTTGGTGTAAAGCCTTGGTTCTCAACTGGTGGGTCCTGACCCAAAATTGAGTTGCGACACCTTGTTCAGGGGGTCGCTGCATGCCTTCCACTTTTCTAGACGAGAGGCTCCTCAGCCTCCCCCTAGCACAGCACTGTCAGTTCTTGCGCCAAGCAGCCATTCAAAATATGCTGCCCGCTGCGGAGTGTCAGCTTGAGGTGGGCTAGGCCTATGGCCGTGAGGGAGCTCCATCCATATGTGAATTGCTTACAGCTCCCTTGCATGTCCTGTAGATGTGCCTGGACCGGAGCGATGTCACATTCTGGCTCTGGGCACCTCTACAGTGTGTGCATGGAGCTGTATAAGTGACTGTACGTATGGCTGGAGCTCCATCACAACACAGGCTGGGGAATCACTCCAGTTCTCGTAAGGTAGGAAGACTGGGTGGATTAAAAAAAAAAAAAAAAGTGTGTGTGAAATTGGTCTGTGGTTGTGTGCGTCTGTCAGTGCTTTTGAGGGCCCATTCACACTAGTACAGCGCATTAATCGCAGAGTCCCACACAATCACACCTACTGCACATTCTGATTTGGGAGGTGCAGTGAATTGACATTCATTTAAATGACACGACAAACACATCTTCCACCCGCATTGGAACGAGCAGTAAAGCAATGCCGTGTGTTCCATTGCAGTGCAACTTGGGTCACGCCCTCATGACCAAGGACAAATGTGGGTCCTGAGGTTACACAGGTTGAGAACCACCGGTGTAAAGGAGACATTCTCTGTCAGGTTTCCACTGTGTTTAGAAGTCCCACTGAGGAGACTTTGCTTCACTTCCTGTCCCAAAGATAAAAAAAAATAGTGGGACGGGATGCGAGGGGTAATCCTGCCATGTCATAACATTTAAAACCTGAGAATGGTTCTAATTGTTCCCCACTATATCCAAATCTAAAAAAAAAAGTTTTGGCTTAAAGTTTATTTACTCTTTTACAGCCAAATTAGGAAAACACATTTTATATTTGTCATGTTCCTATTCACATAGCAATGCTGAAAACAAAATGTCAAAATTGCTCCTTACATATTTAAGTGCTTTCAAATCCCTGCTTAAAAATCCTACTAGTTTTCCCCCTATGTAATATTAAAGTATTAAACCCTCAGGGAGGAAATCAAAAAAGCAGACAGAATCTGCAGCAGTTGTCCATGGCAACTATTCAGCTTCTCTCTTCAGTTTGTTCAGCTAAGCTTTGGAAAGTACTCGCCCAAATACTCTGTATCGGTGCATGCCTAGTTGTAAACTAGATGTGAAGGACTGTCCCAACAAAAGGTTAAATACTTCAGCCCCTTTCACATGGGCATTCCGATCAGGTCCGCCTATCTGTTTTTCAAGCGGACCTGATTGGAAGCCCAATGTTACTCTATGGGCAGCTAGATGTAAACAGAAGGGCGTCCTTTTAAATCCGGTTACCAACGGCATCAGCCAGGTCACGAAAACAAACGGAGAGTTCCATTTTGCCAGACCTAATTGTGCCGTATTGGGGGTAATTCATATAAAAACGGACACAAGTGCATTTACGTCTGATTCCCAAAGACCAACATGGCTCTGGTAATTTCATTTTTTCCCTTCATCGCAAGATGGGAGGAAAAAACTGGACAGATACGGATGTAACAGTGACATCTGTTCCGATCATCAGGGGATAAATGCACAGATCCCCACCCGATCGGACCATGTAAAAGGGGCCTTAGAATCATTGTATGCTGATGAGAGGTAGTTCAGTCTGTCGCTCATGCTGACCCTCTAGTTTTCCTTTTAAACTGCTCAGAGTAGCCTGGAATCTGCACAAAGGTCTTCACCAAATACACATCTAAAAAGGTAGGAAATCTATTTTTATTTTTTTAGGTAAGCTGTGTGAATGGGACCACATAACAAATATACTGTATAGTGAGGTTTTTTTTTTTGTTTTAAAATTTGACTTGCAAAAAAGGAACTACACCTTAGGTTCCACTGCATCAAATATATTTATATTTGAATGGGCACTGAAAGACTTATTGGGATAATTAAACAAAAGCAGGAGTCAAGCTCATAAAAAAAACGAAGGAAGAAATAAAAGTTTCAATATAAATAATTCATGTTTGTTATGTCAAACCTGAGCTTATGCTTTAATATTAATGCAAAGAGCAATAGTGTGCACCAAACAGACTGCAATGGCAGATCACTTTCAGAAGGAACTAAACTAGTAAAAGTCACATTCTTACAGGTTTGTTAGTCACTGGACATCATTACGGCCTGCAGCAAGTTATCAAATAACATCCATTCTCAAATTACAAGGGTCATAGTAAACTTCAATAAAAAACACAGATTAAGAGGCCGGAAAAAAAACAAACAACTTTTCAAGATCTAGACAGGCTTCGACTATCAATCCATTAAATTTTATCATGCACACGTTAACTGCTGCTAAGAAAATGTTATACAGCAGCCCAATGGATGGCCAAGATTCAATGACACCACATCAGGAAATGGAAACAAAAATAATAAACATACAAAAGGGGCAAGGAGGCAAAGTGCAATAAGGTTTAAAAAAAAAAAAAAGGAACAGATTAAAATAGTTTTTTCTTGTTTAATGGACATCTCAGTCCCTTGCTTGGGACCCCATCTAATGAACAGCAACAATTTTTGCCTTCACATTTGCTCTACTGTCCAAAAGATGTATTGCAGTGCTCTTAAAGCACAATTACAACTTAAGTACTAGAGCTGCAACAAACATCTGAAATCATGTGTTCCGTTTGTCTGGTAAACCGGAGGTGGGGCAAATGTAGACAGGCGGACTCCGTGGGGCAAATGTAGACAGGCGGACTCCTCCATGTTCCAAAACAGGAAGTGGAAAGCAGAGGTGAAATGTTATAGTATCGTGGAACCCTTCCACAGCATCTCCCAGATTTCATATGGAGACTAAACTCCGAGAGATATTGCAGCAAAAATATATATATCCAGCGGTCCCAGAAAAAGCATGCCAACAAATTAACATTTCACTCTTCCAAAACACGTGGCACCAAAACCATCTCATTCAAAATAAAAATGGCCTTATGAACATAAGCCGCAGGGAAGGAAACCATTGATAATGCCAAACTGGTTCTTCATGTAAATAGGAAGAAATGAAAACACAAAGCGGACCTTTACACTCACAAATCAAATTCTGCCAATGCATCCCTCTATGTATGATGACTAATAATAACAGACATGTCAGGTGTAAAATGCTGTGACTTTGAATACTTACACTTGCAGAGCATTCACTTCCTGCTTTGAAAAGCGCAAATGACTTCAGTTTGCCACAGCAATGCACACTGGGATTGCCTTGTTATCAGCAGAGCATTGCTGGGAAATCTCATGAGATCTCAGGGAAAGGCATTTTCCTCCCCTGAGATGATGTGCATGCTCACATGTGCCAGAAATCCAGAAAGCCAAAAGGAGAGCTAGTAATCTGTCCTTAGTAAACATGGCCACTGCCATGAAGACTGGGAAAGAAAAGAGGAATAAGATATGCAAAGAATACATAGCCGGCAATTATCTAGAAGTATGTGTTTGTAGATTGTCATTACTTAAAAAGGAGAACTATTAGGTGAGTGAAAATCACTCATCCTCATAGTTCGAGCCGACGTGTGACAATTAAACTGTCACACGTCGGCTCAATAGATCGGGAAGTGAGCGAACATATACGTTGCTCGCTCACTTCTCGATCTCCCTGCAGAGAACAGTGACCGTCACGTCTCCCTGCAGGGATTCGCCCCTCCGATCCTTCAGCGCTGACTGGAGGAATGGATGGAGGAGGGGGCGGGTACAGCTGGCTCTGCCTCTAGATAGGCAGAGCCAGCTGTCACTCGCGCAGTTGGGTGGACCTCGACAGCATTGTCGGGATCCGTCCCGGCTGTGGCGGTCTCAGTATACTGCGAGCTGTAGCTCGCAATATACTGAGCTTTATATGAGACATATACAAGCGTCCTCCCGTGACCCTTAAGAGAACTATGGGGAAAAACACTTACCCCATATTTCTCTTTTAACATTTCTAAAAAGGTGTTTGTTGTTATTTTAAAGATATGGGTAAAGGTCCGCTTTAATTAGTTGTTCTGGCATAGGTTTCCTTTCCCTCCTGTTTTCATACACAAGGCTTAAAGTAATAAATTGGAATTGCTCTCCATGATCTATAGACAAAGACAAATCTGTTAAGAGGAATGCATTGTAGCACTGCTCGCTTGACTGGGAAGCCTGCAACTGAAAAAATATATATATATTAATTTTTGACCCCTGCTTATTAGCGGAAATGAAACGTCTCTACACCTAGTAAACAGCTAGGAGTAGAGAACGGCTCCTTTCACCAGAGAATTCTCAGTCAAGTATTGTGATGACAAATTCCCTTTAATAGTAAAACCATGCCATTTTTTTCCTACGATTGCGAATTAATGCAAATATGATTAATGCTCCAATATAGCTTTAGAGAGGAAATGTGTTATTGACCCCCAAACGCACTGAAGAGTTTCACAACTCAAACACCAACAATGTAAACACCACTACACACAGTACACAACTGTCCTGATCAACACAGGATCTTGGAAGGAAAAAGCACAATCCTGGCACTCGCAACGAGAACTGCATTTTTTTAATGTTTGTTTGATCCAATCCCGCATGTGCCAGATTGACATGTGTTGCAGGCCTCTTTGGCACTGGAGGGGTTAGTATAACATTTTGCTTTAATCCAAAAAAAAAAGGATGCAGGACACAGTAATATGCAGAACCACCCGGCTGCCATGTCCTACAATGCATTGCTCTGCTATTTTCCCCAAACCCAACCTAAAAACCTCAATTGGGATTAATTAAATAAACTGAAAACAAAACCCGCCTCCCCCCACCTGCATTTTTCAAGTTCCCCATTTAACTTAGTTAGAGCCAGTTAAACCTGAAATATAAAAAGGTGAAACACTTTCTGGCACTAAGAGATAAAATATTCCTATTAAAAAAACAAACAAGAAACAACAAATAATACCTAAAATAACCAAATGGTAAGAAAGTGCCTGAAACATGTTACCAGCATTTAGAGCCCTTTCAGATACAAGGCAGAAATAGGTGTAAAAGTAGTTTAAGAAACCAAAAAAAAGAACAAAAAATATATGGATTCTCCATTAAATTTCCAGGGAAGGTCCATAAAAGTACATTAATGAAGGTCAACGGGGTCCGATGTCCACATTACGCTAAGTCTGTTCATCTACACTCAGATGATCTGTGTCTGTAGATCTTAAGCATTTGGTTGCCTCTTCCTTTCTTCTTCTTTCTAGTTCCCAGTCCACAAATGTGTCAAAGAGGCTGGGCCAAGCCTCATCCTCACTGTAGTTGCTAAGGTCAGGTCCAATCACATGAGTAAAGTTTAGGAACATGTTCCATGTGTCTCGGGAGATTCCCTTGATTCCTGAGGGGTTTTCCATTAGGAAGTCTAACCACTCGTCCAAAATGAGCGGTTTGTTTTGGATGAATACTAGCTTCCAGAGGGCAATGGCTATTTCCCGGTGAAGTGACCGCTGCCCTTCTTCTGAGTCTAGGCCAAATTGAAAGGTGAAGCGATAAAGATCCTTAAATTTATCTTCTTGTTTGGCTTCGTTTAGGAGACTGGGAAACCTGTTGCAGATTCCTTCAATGCTGTCTGCGTTTATTGCCTTGCATCCTTCAAAAAACTCTTTCCTGCAAGGAAGCAAGAAAACAAACAAATCTGAATGTTCAATAAAGCAAAACATTTTGGAACACACCAACTGTTATCCTCCCTGGTGGTATGATTTTTTTTCTTCCTTTTTTCGTTCTAAGTGATTTCATTTTTTCTTTACTTTTGACTCTCCAGCCGGTTCCGCCCCCCTGCGACGCGGACGCTCACAAGGGACGGAACCCGGAAAGACGAGTGCCGGCATTGGCCGGAGGACACAGCGCGGCTCGAGGGACAAGGTAAGAGACGCACTGTGTATTCCCGAGTGTGGCTTGGGGTTACCGCTTATGGTACAGAAAATTAACCCCGAGCCACACTCGGGAATATCGACAAGGAGGTTATGGAACGGGTAGACAATTTCCGGTAAGCAGTTAGGGTGGGGATGTGGGAGGTCCTAGGGAATTAAGAATGGCGGTGCCCCCCACCACCCAGGAAATAGGAGTGTGTTGCCATGAAGAGATTTTAAGGCATTAGTTGAGCTCTGCTTTGTGTTCGAGAGCTTAGGTTAGTTCTCCTTTTATAACAAGTAGAAACATTCATAACATATAAACAAAGAAACTACACTTTTTTTTTGGAGCGGTATTAGAAGACCTGTCAGGTTTTGATTGCGGTCTGTACCCCCTTTTTCCATTTGTGGGGGGGGGGGGGGGGGGGGGGGGGAGGGGAAATCTTCCAATAGGGACACTTGTTTTGGTGACAACCAGTGATTTCCCTCACTTTGGAATTTCTTCTGACTTCTTGTTGTGGATATGGGAGAGGAAGAAGTGGGGGAGGTGAGGGGGTGTACAGGGGTTCAGATAGTGCCACATCCTAATATATATGGATACAGAAAAGCAGCAAACAAACTTTTAGGCACCAACATGACCACTTCAATGTGTATTAAAAGGAATATTTTATTGTGTACAACTTTGATAAAGTCACATAAGAATAAAAACATCAACATGTATAATCTCACTTATAAATCCATATAAGTGGATTTCTAAGCGAGATTATACATGATGTATTGTGTACAACTTTGATAAAAGTCACATAAGAATAAAAACAATATTCCTTTTAATACAAATTTAAGTGGTTGTGTTTATAGGCTAAAAAGTCTGTTTGCAGCTTTTCTATATCTATGGGACAGGAAATAAATGGGAACCCCCCCCAAATAAATAAAGTGAGCACAGGGGTACACTTGCAGATACAGAGGAGAACAGGGGTACACTTGCAGATACAGAGGAGAACAGGGAGGCAAACAAGTTAATTTGGAGATATGGAGGCACATAGAGCCACACTAGGGGCACAGGGGTACCTTGGAGCATTCATAATTTCAAAGCTTTAAATATAGTGTATTATGTAATTTTTGAGAGTAGCCTGGAACCTAACTCCCTCACTTACATTATATAGTGGGTTTAAATTTATATTGGTTCCTATTTGCAACCATTCCTTCTGGAACCTAACCCTGGCGTAAATCGAGGGTTCCCTGTATATACACATCCACACATCAACAAAGTCATCTTTCTTTTTAGATTATGCCTCTCAGAGAAAGCCACCACCACCTTTTCTATTGACCTTGTCTCTTCTAAAGAGAACACAGCCAGAAAATGTTAAAAGCCCAGTTCTGTGAAGTATGAAGCAAAGATTTTGCCATTGTTTTTATTTTTCACTTGTACCCTTCAAAATTGATAAACGACACCCCAAACTATGCATTTTCAAAAGCAGAGGACCACTAGAATAAAGATATTCTGCTACTGATTTTGTAGGTCTTGTTTAAAGTTGTGCAAGTGTTTATCAAAATATTTTTGATTTAAGAAAAAGCACAAATCATTATTGGTGCACAAAAATGCAAAATAAATTCAAAAATTCCTACAAAATCTAAAGTATAAAACTTTATCGAGTTAATAAATATTTGTACGTTTTAAATCATGCCTGTTTGTGAAATGGTAAAAATCACAGGTGCATAAAACAAAAATAAGTATATAAGCAACAGAAAAAATAACAGCAAGTAAGCAACTTATGCTAAAAATCTGGAGGTTGGCTGCACATGTTAAAGTACGATATGACAGGTCGCAACACTCGGCGGTGCATAGAGCTGAATAAATTTAATTTTTAAAAAAATGGTAAAGCAGAATAAATCAAGCAATGTGATGCGTTTTAACATAGCATTGCATGTGTACAACACGCACTAGTGAGTGATTTCTGCACACCATAATGCGGTCAGCTGGGGTTAATAGGCCCTTCGTGTGTAATGTGCATTACCAAAACGTATGTAATTTGGGTGTGTGCTTTTGGCGTTTATTTTTATTATAATTTAATTAGTCCAGTCAGGGGGCTTTGGGGTAACATAAGGGGGTCTAAACAGACTCCTGATATTTCACTTTTGACTTAGGAGATTGAGGACTCTGCGTCCTCAATATTTCTCTCTTCTTCTCTGTAGCCTGCACTGGGCAATGAACACAGAACGGCTCAGTAGAGAGCGCTTCTGTGTTCATACAAAAAACGAAGCCATAGTAAACATGCGACTTATCACTACTGAGCACTTCTCATTTCACTGAAGGGAGTTGTCACACATGACCGATATTTTTGCATCACTTTTTTAGCCGTAGAGGACAATAAAAGCATGAGGAAACAGATGCGGGTCTAGAAAAAAGACTGTACCCACCCAGGGACAGGAAGTTCGGAGAGCTCTCAGAAATCATTGACAGGTGCATATGACCAGCATTTGACCTACTTCAAGGGGGTTTTGCATTCTCAGACTTGTAAATGGATATAAAACTCGCATCAAGTGAAGACCCTTTTCTAGGTTGATTACACTCACTGACTACAGTAAAATAACATCTAATTTGTTAATGGTAAGTGAATCAGACAATATCTGCAGAACTCCTGTAAAGCCACAAGGATTCTTGCTAGATGCACAGATTGTGATGTCGTCAAAGAGCCCAGATGACTATTTACATCCCCGCACTGCCTGCTATGATTAGCATCATCTCTGGATAGATGTGAAGAACTTATCTCCCTGGATTGTGACTTGCTAAAATCGACAGAAATGTGTAACATGCCCTTATTTGCTCCCTACATCGTAGGCCCAAACTACAATTATCATGGTTTCTTCTTGCCCTCTCAGGCTGAAAAAATTATGCAAGTGTAATAATTACATTTTGACAGGACAAATTAATATGGAATTCAGGAGCCGTTCTGTCCAATCCAGGAATTCCAGTGCCAGCTGTCATTTTTAAGATCCTGGGATTTGTCCAGCCTGCATTATATTTGGAGAAGCAGAATTTTTGATGAGGCAGTTTGCAGCACTCCATAATAACCAATCAGACTTCAGTTGTCAATAAAAGATAAAACTGCATTGGTTACAACACATACTGCTATATTACATACACTGCTTATGCTTAAGTAAAAAGTCCTAAAACATCCTGCAAAAACATAACATTTAATCCCTAAAAGGGACCTTGGATATACCCGCTATTGAGATAGTTGTACTGGTAGAAAAGACACACCAGTGGGGACATGCTGTAAATGTATACCCTTTGTTAGTGCGGAATAGGGACAGTGTGTATAGGTATTATACATTGAAGCCCGATTGAAACCTTTGTTTAAATGTTCCATGTCCTACATTTTGTGGGACCCTTGCTCTCCGTGCAGAAGTGGTCTCTCCCCAGAGGTCTGACACACGCCGTACTGAGTCAGACCTATAGTTATGCAATCAGCAATGCTCTGACTCATGATGGACCTCTGCAAAGAGATCACTGCTCACCCACACAGAGCAAGGGCCCCACTCTGCAGCATGTTGGCACGGGACATGCGCAAACACACACAAAAAAACCCCTTGTAAGGACTAGTGTTAAAAGTATTATAAACAAGAGCATGGGGGGGGGGCGCAATATACAGTGCTTATAAAAAGTAATCATCTCTTTAGAATTTTTTCATAGAGCATTAAATCACAGTCGATCTAATTTTGTGTTACACTGATGAGCTATTCTTGTTCACGTTTAAGGCTGTGACACACTGCATGCGCAGCGGTACGCTGCCTTTGCGAGCAGTGTGTTATGTAATTTCCTCCCCGGCACGGCAGCTTGCGAGAGCTCGCATAGCTGAGCGTGCCGAGATGAAACATTTCGACTTCAGCCATTCAGCTCGCGACGTCTGGCCGGTTGTTACACACAAGCCGATTAGCTGAAGGTGCAGTCAATCATCTGCGTGCACTTAGCTCACACACTGCGCCGGACAGCTTTGCTTCACTCTGCACAGCTTTGCTTCACTCTGCACGGCTTTGCGTGCAGTGTGTCACGGGCTTTAAGCCTTTCGCTGGCAAGGCTTTTTTGCACACATGATATAATCCACATTTTAGGCCTGAAAATTAAAACCCCAGAGAATTAGATATTTCCTAAAAGCACAGACCCTGTAGAATGAAATGGTGGCAGTTACAATAACTTCTAGGCATTGGAAGTCAACAAGCATTCCCCAGACTCGGGAATGGGTATGTGAACTACTTAATAATGCGTATGGAGGTGGTTCACGGCGAGACTTCATGATAGGTATTCTATGTTTGAGGGGACATTGAGTGCCTGGGTTGACTTTTAGGGATGCACAGATACTTTTCGAGTACCAGTGCCGATACTTGGCATTTTCATGAGAACTACCAGGGTTGCAGCGGTTGCAGCTGGGACCTAGCTCTGGCGCTCCACCACTGTCCTGAAATCATAAGTCAATATTGTTTTAGAAAAACTATCACATGACAATAAACAAAAATGTATCAGTACTCGTACTTGTAAGTACTCGGCAAGTACTCATACTCGCAAAACTGGTATCTGTGCATCCCTTTATTTATATTTATAAAAACAAAATCGTACATTAAAACAGAGATGTACAAATCCCAGGAGCTCCGTGTGCTCCTTACAAATGACAGCTGCCTCCTAATTCTTGAATTTTTCTCTAGTGTAGTCTTGGAGCTCAAAAGTATCGGTACATGTACTCATATTTGTACCGAGTACTGTACTTGGTATCTGTGCAACCCTATTGACTTTTTTACCTCTTCAAAAATATCTGCAGTGAAAATGTAGGGCCAATGACGAAGTTGATGACCCCATCTTTGTATCATCTGTTAAAGAGGGTGGGAGGGTGTGTGAGGGCCTATAGGTGATGGAAGAAGGGGAATGGGAGAGTGTGAAGTAGGGGAGACAGAGACGAAACATTGATAAACAGATTTGATAATTGAGAGCAAAGTGGATATGAGGGAAAATAATGCATATTTAGGATGATAGGTAGAGGTTGGAAAGAGGAGTTTATATTGTTTTTATATTATACTGCATATATTGTGTTGAGCGGTGTAAAAATGTACTGGAAAAAAAAGTTTAAATAAAATATTATATAAAAGATGAGCTTGTGTCAAGTAAATAGATACCCAACATCCCAAGCTTTAAAATTGCGTGCACACATGCAGCGGCGACAAAATACAGTACCCCAAATTGTCCTGTACATGCAATCAGTTTAGGGTTAACCGTGAATATTGCTTCCACTCTGGCACACATGACAATAGCCCACACGTGTAGTGAAATCGTCGTTTTCATATGTAGGCGCACCTGATGGATGTTGATATTAGTATGCTCTTGTTCGCAGGGGAAATTTTTTTTTTAACTTAACTTAATTGCCATCATGTGGAGGACTCACAAGCCTCCTATGTGATAGCATATTAGTGGTGGCAGGTTCTCTTTAAGTGGACATTAGTGGACCAATGCAAAGAAGATATTTAAGTACAGATTGGGCTCAAATAGCTTCTTCCGTTGCTTCTCTAGCCAGGGAATGACAGCTGAGGAGCTCCAAGTGATGCAATCAGCCTGCTCTCCTCTTTTCAGCACAGCTCACATCAAGGCGATGCACCAGTGTGAACTGTTCCCATTAATTTTTATATGTACATGCATTGAAAAATGCTAAGGCCTAGCATACCTGACCCTAGACTGCAGTGAAGGAAAGCATGGACAGATGGAACATGTCCAGGGAGAAGAAAAGCTGGTCAACAGCTGTAGGACCCTTGCCTTCATATAATGGGAGGTCTAAGAAAAGACAGAGGATACCCGACAGGATGTGAGAACTCCCGCAAAAAGAAAAATGTAAATGGGAGAGAAGGAAAAGAACCATTGGCGAACCAAATATGAAGGGCGCAAACCCTGAACAGTTCTAGATTTCCACTTCTTCAGCCAAACTGGAATAACGCATACATTTGATGCATGTTCCCATTAACGTAGCATTACCCTAAAAAAATATTTAAAACGTTATGCTTTTTTCCCCCCCAGCTGAAAAATATGTTAGTTCTCTCCTCCGTTAAATAAATATAAGGAGGGGCGGGGGCTAGGGAGTTGTTTGCCATATTTGAACTTTGTCTCATTATCAGTTGTAAGCTAGATGTGCAACACTGTCTGTCCCAACAAAGGGTTGGCTTGTGTGGTACATGCTATGTTAACACACTGAACAGTTCCACAGTTTGTCCCTTATCTCTGCATTGCCTTATATTCTAAGCAATAAAAGCTGAATATAGTATTCTATATATAACCCCCCCCCCCCCCCCCCTCTGAAATGATGTGCATAGTCACATGTTCTAGTCACTTGTGCCAGAAATCCAGGAAGTAATAGGAGAGCTAGTAACCTGCCCTTAGTAAACATGGCCACTGTCAGAAGACTGGGAAAGAAAAGAGAAATAAGGTATGCAAAGAATACAAAGCCGGCAATTATCTAGAAGTATGTGTTTGTAGATTGTCATCATTAATAATCATTTCTAAAAGTGTGTTTGCTGTGATTTTAAAGATATGAGTAAAGGTCCACTTTTAGGAGAGGGTGGGGTGATCAACAACACCTGAATAAAAACTGGCTTACAAGAATATCAGGATCAAAGGATGAGAAGGAATCCTTCCAACCAACACCCATAGGTGTTCTAGAGGTGTGGTAATCACACTGCAAGCCCGTCTAACCAGTTCTAAAATATATTTAGATGGGCAAGTTAGATGATATTCTATCATCCAACTTCCCCCTGTAAGGACAGAATCATCTGTCTTGGATAGAGGGGTAGGAATCCTAGTATTAGTATTAGAAGTATTGGCCTCATAGAAAGAATTTAAGCAGATTTCCTCAGGAGACCATAGCTCAGTCACAGAAGAGGATTTATCTTCCAGTCAATAGGTCTTACGTTGTCCCTCTTAGGGGAAGTCCTCAGCAGGGTACTGATCTGTCTATCTTGCTGATTTGGGTTCACACCTAGGTGGCATCGGTTTTGCGCGTTTGTACTCAGGGGCTCAAGGTGCGCTCATTTGCGCAAGTGGCACATTTTTACACGCGTTGAAAACGCACATATATGAAGATGCACATTTTTCAAGGCAGCTTAACATTACGGTCAATGGATTAGGCGTGTACAACCGTGCACGAAAATGTGCAGCATGCTTCTGCCACGCGTTTTCTGGCATTTCCATTGTTGTCTATGGGGGGTGGGGAAGAATGCCCTGCTAACTGCCCAAAGAAGCTCATGTACCTTTCCGGGCATTTGGCGTTTTCCTGCTGCCGTTTTGCTGCTCAGATATGAACAGAGGCCATTGAAAATCATGGGATTTTTTGGGTTGGGCGTTTAAAAGTGTTTTTCCAACCGCTCAAAAATGCCTAGGTGTGACCCAGGCCTAAGACATTCCAGGGATGGCAAGAAGAGGTACTCTTGTTCAGAACTCGTGGATAGAGAATTATACAGGGGTACGGGTACTCCTAGAATGAGATCCTAATAGGTTGGACTTGATGGACTAATGTCTTTATTCAACCTCAAATACTATGTAACTCCCACTTATCCAATGGGGAATGATTGGAACCGGGGATTGGAACAATTATATCTTGAGGCTAGAAAAGACAGTGTAGTCATAAATGACCCACCTAACTGTCTAACTTAGGGAGTAGGATTCCCAGTCTGAAGCAGGGGGAAATCCCAAAACCTTCCAGAGGTGAAGATGTTGGAGCCTCCAGATGAAGTCCAGAGGAGGTCAGCTCAAAATACCGACCAACAGGGGGATCCCTCGACGACTCAAACTATCTGCTCTGTATAATCAGACTCAAGGAGTAAGAAAAAGTACACATCTGCTAGTTAAAAATCGACCAAGGAAGGGGGAGCCATCCCCTCCCTAACGAGAGGCCAGCAAAATAAATATATTTATAATCTCTATTAAAGAAAAATGGGAGGTTAAAAGGCTGAGTATACATAAAATCTCCTAGGACATTAGCAAAAAACTGAGGAATGACAGCTGGAGATGAGGTTAAACGGGGACTGGCTTAATATTTTTGGTTTGCTCCCTCCCAAAGGCAGGAGTATTTCCTGACTCTGTCCCTCAAGGGATGAAAATTAAACTACTATTCTCCCACATGTAGATCGACAAAGGAAGACATTTTTAGTTCAGCCTGGGTGGCAAGCAAGGCTGCCTCCATATATACGGGGAATGTATCAAAAGTGGAGCAGACAAACCTGGAGCAGTTGCCCAGGGCAACCAACTAATCGGCTGTTCTCTTCAGTTTGTTCAGGTAAGATTTAAAAATGAAAGCTAGAAGCCGATTGGTTGCCATGCACAGCTGCTCCAGATTTTGACAAATTCCCCTCGGTGTTATGTATATGCATAGCCTCCCAGGGACTGGAAGTATGTTATTAGCAGGACCTAAAGTCTACTAAACCAATGAAGCCGCCACATCTAAGGACTGGTAAGCTGCAATGCATCACATATTTGTCTTTATGTTTGCATACACTTTAAATTGACTGTGATTTAACGTTGTTGCACTAAAAGTACACCTACCTAGTGAACTTGCACATGGTTGCAGCCTGGAATTTCCAAGCCAGAACTAACACTCTAAACTCTGTTGGGTCCACACTCAGATCATTACAAAACCGTTCCATGCCTTCTTCTAAGATAACATCTTCCCGCTCATCCTTATATCTTCGAAACAATTCTTCAATCCTTTGCAAGGATGACACTTCTGCTCCCAACCCTGGCTCTTTCTTCTTTGCATCACCACTTGGTGGTTGAGGATGACATGACTCTACTGTGGCATCCTGTGCTTTCTTTGTTCCATTGACTAGGATGTCTCCTGAGGTCTTCCCACCAGCAGACGTGTGTTCTTCCTTGTGTCCTGAGCTTCTCTTATGTGACTTGCTTGAGTCCCGTTCACCATTTTTACTGCCTAGTGTAGATGATGGATTTTTACACTTGGTGACACACTGGCCCATGTTGAGTGTGTCCAGTTTTAGAGCAGTCTGTCTTGCACCAGACACTGTCTCGGCCAATGTTTGATACACGTCAACATACCATCCTGAGAAGCTGTCTAACCTAGAAAATATAAAATAATTTTCATTAGACAAACAAAATATGTATTATACCATTATGACACACAATTTGTAATTACCATCTGTACCATTTATTTGGATTATGGTAACAAGAGAAAGAAAAGACCAATGTTGATAGATTGGTGTAATACAGTAATATCACTTTATCCATGTGCAGTTCTATGTCACTGTACAGTAATATCACTTACTGCTGTTTTTTGTTTTTTAAGCAGTAAGGCCCTGCTGTGGGCAAGCATGGGAGCCGCCACTCGTTTTGTACAAGTGATCTGGGTGACTCTACTGTCACCCAGATCACTTGTAGCAGTCTGCTTGTTTCCCCTACCCACCTCCCCGTCATGGATTTCGGTTTCCCTCGCTCTTCTGGGGACCCAGGACCAAGGCAAATTACTTCAGGATGGTGAGCAGACCGGAGTACATCGGTTCTCCGATCTGCTCTGTGTGATCAGTGAGACAGGACTGCTGTACTCAGAGAGGGAAAGGGATTTCTTTTTTTAAACAACCATTGGATTAGTTGAAAAAAATAAATTAAAAAAAAATAAAAAAATCGGGCAACTAATCGATTATGAAAATAATTGTTACCTTTTGCACTACTGTACCCCACACTGCCGTCCAGCGCAGCCCTGCGCTATGGATTCTGAATTTCACTCACAAATTGCGGGCACTCATTTGTCAGCGCAGTCACCTGACCATGCTGACCAATTAAAAGCACTTCTTAGCACGTTTAAATGCGGTTTTGGTTAAATTAATTTTCTGTATCATGACAAGTAGATTGAGCCCCCACTTTAGTCCCTGAACAAGTAGTTTTTGTTTAAATTCCTACACCTGTCCGTTTCTCTCCCTCCCCTTCACATCAAAGTCCCCCTTGATCACATCAATGAATGCACTGCACTCACATGAATGCACTGCAGAGACCTTCTCAGTCCCACCTTCACAGCAGAGGGTGGAAGTATGACAGAGGACTGAAGGCAGACTTCACTCCTCTTCTTCATTGATCCCACCTGCCCTGGAATAGCATCATGCATTTCCATGGTGCTAGCTGCCAGCACCATAGAAACACATGGTACTGAAAATGTCACAGCACCACTCAGGTAGCTAGATGCACTCCGGTTCAGGAAGGCAACTATTGAGATGATGGGGTCTTCCAGAGTATGCCATGTTTTATTTTGAGATCATGTAACACTAAGTATCTATAGCCATTTTTTTTTAACGTTTTGGCTAAAACAGGATAGGCATAAACTGCACTTTTACCATCAATAAAAAATCTTATTGCTAAAAAAAAAAAAAACACGAAACAGTATAGGCTGTGTACCATTGGGCAAAAATTTACATTCACTGTCCCAGAGACACAATTAGTTAGACAAAATCTCCTAAGTAATGGGAGTTATTCTTTAAAACCCTTCCCTGGCTATATAAAAAATAAAAAAAAGCTTGCCTAGATATTATTATTCAGAATGTATATATAGTGCCAACAATTTGTGCAGCGCTTTAGAATACAAGGAAGACACTACAGTTACAACACAATTCAAGATGGTTAGGAGGGACTTTTATTTGTATACAGGAGGATGCTATTCAACATATAATGTGACTTCTAAAGTTAACTGGTTCCATCATAGTTTATTAAGACGTTCACAATGAGTAAAAGCTTTGGATGTAAAGTTATATTTATCTGCAAATAATTTGAAATATTATGACATTATGGACTTCTGTAAACAGGATGTAAAATTCAAATTTTAATTTTGGTTGTAACAATACAAAATGTAAAAAAGACTAAGAAGCTGAACACCAATACATGCCAGTGCAGGTATTTTTCACAGAAGAACACAATCTGAATCTGCCCTATACTTATACTGGAGTAATCAGGAAACCTTCACACTCTCAAAATGACTTTAAGATAGAAAAGATATTTGCTGGAACATTAAAACAAGGACGATATACTACACACAAATCAAGTTGCTCTATACCAGTAGTTCTCAACCTTTCTAGGGCCGGGACCCCTTGGTAACATTTGCCAAGTTGTGGCGACCCCCAACAGTAAAATTTTGGGACGACGCGGCTGCTGCAGCGACATCTGGCGGCATGGCGAAAGAACTGACACTGCTGCGCTAGGAGAGCGCTGAGGAGGACTTTCATCTAGCACAGCAGAAAATCACACATCGACCCACAGGATGAGAACCCCTTGTGTACGCCGTCAGAATAAAAAAAAAAAAAATTATAAAGAGAAAAAAAAAACACCACCATAGGAATGCATAGCTAGATTCCTATTGGCTATTTCACTTTGCAATAGCAAACTAGCTATTGCACACACCCTCTGCTGCTGTCAATCACTAGACGAGGACCTGATGGAGAACTTCAGGTCCCCCTCTGCTGATTGGCAGCAGCAGAGGGCGGGTGCAATAGCTAGTTTGCTAATGGCTATTGCAAAGTGAAATAGCCAATAGGAATCTAGCTATGCATTCCTATTGTGTTTTTTTTCTGACTTACGGCGGCCCCCGAAAAAAAATGATTGCAGGGAAAGGCTTACTCTGCTCGATCGCGCAGAGTAAACCTTTCCGGTAGAAAGTGTTTCTCTCCCGGGCGGCCGGGAGCCGCTATCTAATAACGGGAGACTCCCAGGTGACCCCTGGCAAATCGTCATTCGGCACCCGACGGGGTCGCGACCAACAGGTTGAGAACCGCTGCTCTATACTAATACGTGTGATAATAAATGAAAAAGCTAATTTTTGGTTAGGGTTATATAATTTCATTTGGTGCGACTACCGGGGACATCTAGTGGTGTACAGGCTATAACTTGGGAACAACTATTGTACCCAGCTGGTCCTCAAAAAAAAAAAAAAAAAAAGGATATGGCAATGAATATTAAAGACACATAATTGACCTTCAAAAGTCCCCAATCAAGAAAATAAGCAAAGGTTAATGTGGAACAGATATTTTAAACCACACCAATCAGCATGCCTTTAAACCATAAAATGTGCCATAACCATGACAGAAAACAAGCAGCTGTCACACCCTCATTGAACAGAGCTCGAGCAGAAAAAAATTGCCGTCTGGAGACGGCAACCCGCAGATGCTGCAGTGCCGTCCGTCCGTTTTTTTACTACGGGCGGACGGCAAGAGGTTAACAAGGCCCTTGTGACCTTGGCACAGTGGAATAGCAGTCTGTTTTTCCCCGGTTACAGCAGAATTGATACCTGAATACCAGGCTTAAACAATCTGGGACCTGCCAGAAACGTGACTATCTACATTTTAGAATGAATTTCAACAAGCCATCATATATAAATCATAAAAATTGACAGTACCATGCACAGAAAATGCAAACATCCACTTAAAGTTATTACCACTTCAGCCTCATACAGGCATATGCTCTACAGACCAGCGAAATCTACACATTCTGCTATGGGCCTGTTTATTCAGCAATAACTTTCTCATTACTAGAGATTAGCCTGGGCTTGGTTGCAAACCCACTTCGCCCGAGTTTTCCCAAGACCACTTAAAACTGTGACCACCATTTCCTCCCAAGCCCCCAACCCAATAAGTGGTAACAGTTGTAGAGAGGGCAGTCCCCAGCCCTGCAGCTCTGCATGCGGTGTTAAAGGAGAACTATGGGGTTAGGGCTTTTCCCCATAGTTCTCCTAAGGGTAACGGGAGGACACAAACTAGCGTCCTGCCGTCAGCTACAGCTCACGGTATACTGAGACGCCGCAGCCGGGACAGATCCCGACATTCTGCCGAGATCAACCCAGCTGCGGGATTGACAGATAGCTCTGCCTATGTAGAGGCAGAGCCAGCTGTGCCCGCCCTCTCCCCCTTCCGTTCCGCCAGTCAGCCCTGGAGGATCGGACAGGGGAGCGGGGGAATCCCTGCAGGGAGCCGTGAGTGACAGTCACGGCTCTCTGCAGGGATAGATCAAGAAGTGAGCGAGCTTCGCTATGCGTTTTGTAGAATGTCATTACCCATATCTCTGTTTGTAGAATGTCATTACTAAGGTTTGTTTGTTGTTATTTTAGAGATATAAGTAAAGGTCCGCTTTAAGTTCTGCTTACAGACAAGGTTAACTTTTTTACTTTAAATTCCAGGTAGATCAATTTAAAAAAAGCAATTTATGCAGAATAGGAAAGGGAGAAAACAGCACAAAAACATAGCTGTGTGTCCTACAAAATGTAGTTTGCATTTCACTTGCTTCGGGACTCTGAAGCAAAAAAAAGCTCTATTCATTCTAAAATAAATAGGGGAAAAAGCACCAAAAGGAGAAGGAAAGCTGTCACATGAATCAGCGGTGGTATGTGACTCCGTGACCGCACAGCCATCTGCATCTTATTTTCTAATGGCACCCCAGTCGCGCCAGACAGATTGTGCGGTTTTCTCCCGTGCAATTGCGCATGTTGAAAAAAAAGTGCATTGCGAAAAAGGTGCATATACCTGTGACGACATGGTGATCAGTTTATAAGTTAAATGTGTATTGGTGTTGGGTTATGTTTGAGTGCGTTATGCTGTGTGACCTGGTTATGGAAAGAGTATCAGAACCATCCCTCGTTATCTCCCATTGTACTCTGAGGGAGCTCAGAACAATGACATTCTGGCCAGGCTCCTGCTATGGCCGTCTGGAGTTCGTTAGCAGGTGGACACCTGTGGTGTTGAGTGTTGAGCAGACCGATGGTCTGGGAGGGGGAGGGGGGATGTGATGGGATTATATTCTGATTTCATCACTTGCTGTATATAAGTTTGTGCAGTTGCTCAATAAAGCAGAGTTTGTTTTCCCTACACTCGAGCCCTGGCTAGTGACTGGGGAAACTGGGAGCTACAGATCAGCGGGTTCCAATATCTCCTCAGCAAGGAAGAAGACAGCGGCGGACATACTCATCCTGAGTACGGGGGTCCGTCACAATACCTTCTTCAGCGATTGCCGTGCGGATGTAACCCCACTGAAATCAATGGGGCCACGCAGCAAGCGCTGTGTGCAGCCGCAGTCACCAAAGTCTGCACCAG